CCTAAAGGTTAAATTTAGTTTAGTGCCTTTTTACAGCTACCCTGTGACTTGAGTACATATATCAGCACTGACGGTGCTTGTTTGTATTTGCAATATATGTAGACGTTTCATATGTGTTTATATAGAAACACAGAATGGGTGTTGGAAGGGACCTCAGAGATCATCTCTTTCCTACTTCCCTGCCATAGGCAGGGACACCTTCCCCTGGTTGCTCAGAGCCCCATACAACCTGCCTCAAACGCTTCCAGGGAATGGGGCATTCACAAGCTGTCTGGACAACCTGCTCTAGTGCCTCAGCAAGCTCACAGTAAGGAACTTTTTCCTAATATTTAATGGAAACCTACTTCCTTTCACTTTGAAGCCATTCCCATATCCTGTCACTACATGCTCTTGTAAATAATTTTCCTTCATAATAGGGAACATCACATTTATAGATAAGATATTCAAAGGAAATGTTTAACAGCAGCACAATCCTCATCTCAGTGTGTTTGTTTGTGCAGGTCACTTTAGGAAGACAGACCTGTTTAAATAGTTTAAAGTTGGTGGCCTGCACTGGCTTTGCTGCTCTGTGCTTTGGAGTAAATCTCAGGCTGGGTTCTGCTGGATTCTGGTGGATGGGAGTGACTTGGAGCAGCTGGCAGCCTGAGCTGAAGAGCTGTGGGGGCCCAGGAGCTCCTCTCAGGTAGAGTTGGCTCTGCCAGACACCTGGTCTGGACCCTGCCATGGTCCTGCCGAGGCCAGCGGGGCTGTGGGGACAGGGCATGGAGTTGGGCTGACCCAGCAGCTGCCTCCAACCCTAGGCTGCTCATCCCCTTCTCAGGATCTGTTAGATTGGAAAAGACCCCTGAGATCATTGAGTCCAAGCTATTGTTGTATTGTTCACTCTGCAGCTCACCTGCACTGCCAAGTGCAGTTTATTTCCACTGTTCCTGTTACTGTGAAGGCTGGGGCTGGGCTGGGCTGGGCTGAAGCTGGTGCTGACCTGCCGTTTTTCTGGGCTATCCAGGTGTGATATCAGGAAGCCCCAGCAGGTCCGGCCAGTGCTGGGAACATGGGCTGCAGGGTGAGGAGGGATGGGAGTGGGGAGGGGCTGTGTCCCAGCCACCTGCCTGGGGTATTTTGGTGTCAGCAAGCCGTGGATGTGCACCTGGGTGTCAGTTACCCACAGTGCTCCTGACTCTGTGGCCAGCAATACACAGGAGTTAAATATAACGGTTCGTGCTGTCATCCAGCCCCTGATGTGATCCAGCCATGGGATAATCTGCCAAGGTCCTTCTCCAGCCTTCACAGGGTGGTTTTGCTGGTGCCGAATCCCCATGGAGCTTGCGAAGCCCAGTGGAATGTTGCTGTTTGGATTCAAACTTGTTTAGATTCAAAACATTCACAACAGTTCTTAAAGCTGGGAGGAGCATTGCTTGTGGGCGGATCTTGGGTTATTAATCCCCCTTTATTCCTCTGTCTGAATTCAAGTTCTGTCCCTCAAAAGCCACATTTTAAACACTGGGACAGAATGGTCCCAGTTAGAGCCATTCCCCAGTCAGTTCTTGGTTTCATAAATGCGTATTGTGGTCATTTTTTCAGCTGTCTCACACCTTCTGGAAGCATATCTACTGTTTGTTCTTACTGAGAGCTTATAAAATGATGTGCTGCTTGCAAAGATGATCCCCTATAAAATAAAGTTATATATGAAATATTAAATACAAAGTCTGGAGGCTTCAGGCACGTGGTAATTGCCTTTTAAACTCAGATGCCTCACTGTAAAGGGTCTTATCACTGCCTTTCAGCTACTTATTTCTTGGAAGGAATGTGTCCTTCTTGGTAAGGAATGATTTAGTTTTGTTCTCCCTCAAGTCAGGAGCAGGCTCTTAATTAAAACAGACTTACAGCCTGAAGTATTTCTTAAAAAACAGAGGAATGTATTTGGCTGAGTCTTTGCAGATCTCAAATTTTTTTAGGAGTTTCTCACTTCAAGGAAGTTACCAATGATCCATCTGTTGCTTTCTTTTGATGTTCATGGGTGTTTTTAGAGGAGGGTGGTCTGGCTGAATTGTGATTTATGTGACAATTAACTATAGCTTATCCCTCACTTCGAGTTTAATTGAAAGTAGGTCTTGTTTGGATGCTAACTCAGGGGCATTAAACCAGGACAAATTCCAAAATTAACTTCTGAAAAGAGGACTTAGGTCTCCAGGTATATACAGTGTTTGGCCTGATTTGACATCTGATGTTGCTAATACATTATATTCTGTTGGCAGGTAGAAATGCTTCCTGATTGTCCCAGTGACAGTTAGAAAGGATTATTTTATGAAAATAGGCCTTTCAGTTATCTTTTTTATCTGATCAACATAGAAAAGAAGACAAACACATATTCTGCCTCGGTAACAGGTTGTTCATTAAAAAAAAATAACTACTTGCAACAGCCTTCAAAAGGATAACCGGTTCTCATCTGTGTTTCTTTCCTTAGTAGGGGAAGCAGGTGTGCAGGCAAATACCTGCACATACAGATGTGCATGTCACCAGAGAAGTCTTCCTCTTTTCAGATGACACAGCTCACAGCCTGAAAAAAAGAATTACAGTGTTCAGACAATGCTGTGGATAAAGCACATGAATTATGGCTATTGATGTGCAGAGAGCCTATGTCCCTGTGTCCTTGAAATAAAGCTGAGGGCTTTGAGGAACAAAGAGCTCCAGAGCAGGAGGAGGACAGTAATTACTGTTCCGTGTCTAAACAAATACTGTCAGAGCTGTCTGGCCTCAGCCTTGCTTGGGCTATTAAAATTCCTTCCAGCAATTGCTCAGAAATCTGATTGAAAGAAAAATTGTCTTCCTCTCCTGTGCATCCCTGTGGGACATGGGACACCAGCATGCCTCAAGCAGAGCCTGATATTGCCACTTACTGTTGTGACAGCAGAGGTTTGGATGCCTCCAGATCCCCTCCTTTGTGGAGGCCTAGCGGGATGGTGTCCTGCCGAGCCCTGCCATGGACACCATGTCCCCAGAGCTGCTGGAGTGCCATTCCCAGGAGCAGTGTGGCACCACCACAGGTCATGTGTGTGGCATGAGTGTGGCCCCACAGGTTATGGCCATGGCACCATCACAGGTCATGGCTGTGGCGATGGAGGGCTGTGGTGGACAGGGGGGACTGTTGTAGAGCCCACAGAACAAAGGGTCTAGTGGGACATAGTGCGTGGGGCTGCACCTTTGGTTCTCATGGATAATCTCCATCCATGGACAGGGACGGGCAGGAGGGACTGGGCAGCCTGCAATGGCCGCGGTTCAACCGGAATTTCCAGCCCTGCTTGCAGGATGCACTGTGATAACCCCATTCCCTCAAACCCAGGCTGGGACGGTGAAACAGCAGCCGTGGGTGATGGCCGCCCCCGCTCCTTGCGGGGCTCCGTCTGTGTCCCCTCAGGCTCGGAGGGCCGCGCTCCCCGCGGTTCCCCTTCCCCGGAGCAGTGCCGGGGATCCATCCCGGGATCCATGCCGGGGATCGAGCACAGCCCCGCGGCCGCAAGATGGCGGCGGAGGGGAGGCCGCGAAATGGCGGCGGCGGCGCCTGAGGGCGCGCGGGTGCTGCCCCCTGCCCGCTTCCCGGCCCACAGCCCCGCTCCCCGGGATTTGTCCCGGGCCGCCCCGAGGGCGATCACCGTGCGCTCGGATGTAGACCTACTTGTGCACATGCTTTGGGGTTTTTTTTTTTTTTTTTTTTTTTTGCTTTGGGTTGTTTTTTTGTTTGGGTCGTTGTTGGTTTGGTTTTCTTTTTGGTGGTTGTTGTTGTGGTTTTATTCTGTTTTTTTTTTCTTCTTTGTATTATTTCTTCCTTGAATCGTGAAATCTGAGCAAAGCCTTTGATGTACTTTGTTGCTTTTGTGCAAATGCAGAAAAAAAAATAAAAATATCTTTAATCCCTCTGTGAAGTTTTCCTGACTCTTCTTTCATAATGTTCTACCTAAGTGAATCCTTAAATATCACAAACACATCCTTAAATATCACAAACACATCTGGCTGCCAGTGCAAAGCTGACTGGGAAAGGTGTGCTCCTTGTTCCAAAAGTTTGTAGCATCATTGTGTTTTTGTTTGTGGCAGTGGGGTTTGAATGCTGCCTTGCCCATGTGTGTGTGTGATAAGGCGTACTGAGATTTCAGTTTGCTTTTTTGGATCTTAAAATAAAAAATATATATGTTGGAAGTGATTGAGCAAAGGTATTTGAATATTTTGGCCACCTGAAAATGGTTTGGCCTCTCATTGTTTTGTTGAGGTGCCTTTATTTAAGGGGATACTCTGTGTGTTAACCCATTTTTATATAAAGATACCAAAAAAACCAACAATAAAGAGGGAACTACACCTACTTAAGTGTTCTGCTGTCCCATTATTGGCTTGAGAAATGCAGTCTGTACAGCACTGGTGTAATCCTTTAAAGAGAAGCTGCCCCAGCCACAAGCCCATATAAACTTCTGCCCTGAATTCATTCTTTTTGCAAAAAAAAATTATATTAACATTATTCACGATTGATACTGGCCTCTTCCAGGAAGTGGATATCAGATTTATTTGGAGCCCCTGGCCACACTAGGATACAGTGGAGAGCCGTGCTGGAGCAACTGCTTATCTTTAATACAACAGGATGGTCTCTGATGCTGCAGCTCCCACTGCACCTTCCTCGCTCCAGGACAGCCAGATCCTCCCAGCAGGACCTGTGCTGCTGGTACTGCTAGTGCTTCTCTTCACCAACACCACTGCTTTTGTTCTGGTGATGAGCAGGAGATCCTGGACAGGGATTTTTGGGGCTGCACTCTCACCCGTGTTCATTGCCCGTCGTGGGAAGGAATTGCTGCAGAATGCCAGTGTGGGGTGTCTGGGCATGCAGGGTCCACACTTGCATTCAGGCTTTTCCAAGCCTGTTGTTGTGGCTCGGATGTGTCTCAGGTTTGCTCACTGCTGCGTATTTCACAGCTGTGTCAGTGCAGTTAAAATGTAACCTCTTCTTTCTCTACCATTAGTCACTCGGCATCCGAAGAAGCCTCTGGCTCTGACTCTGCAAGCCAGTCTGAAAGTGAGCAGGGCAGCGAGTCAAACAGCAGCTCCGAGTCCTCTGAGAGTCAGTCTGAATCCGAAAGTGAATCAACGGGTTCCAAATCCCAGCAGACCCCTCCTGAAACCAAAGAAAAACCAGCCTCTAAGAAGGAAAGGATAGCAGATGTTAAAAAGGTATTACCCCTGCTGCTCTGCACAGACACGTTACTCCTGTACCCACCACGGAAGGTCAGACAGCAGGACCTCAGTGAAGCTGTGCCCAAATTCCTGGCCACTTTGACCTCCAGTGTTCCCAGAGGCTGTTTAGTCTGTATACTGGAGCCCTGCTGGTGTCACCCTTGAGAGCAGGAGCTGCTGTGTTTGTGGAACAACCCCTGGGGCACCAAGGAGATTCTGGTGCAAATGAGGGGAAGGTGTCTGTCGTCAGTACATGATCCTGTCATTTCATCCTCTCCCTCTCTCTTTCCACTCCTCTCTCCTGTCTCTCACTCAGAAGTAGTAAAGCCTCCCCATGTGATAAATAATCAGGAAGAAGGTTTGTTTAGGGTTTGAAGTTTGAACCACTTGGATTTTTTTACATCACTCTTCCTCTCAAAAAAAACCATAGGAAAAAAAGAAAAAAAGGAAGAATGACAAAGCTGTTTAACTTCTATTAAGTCCAGAGCAGTGCTTCTTTTTTGTGGTTTTCTTTCACCTGCAGCTTCCAAGCTCCTCCCTAGCAATACCCCTCAGGTAGCCAGGTTTTCCTTTTGCTTGCTGTCCAGCAGGAAAAGGGATTGTGGATGTTACTGCACATGGTATCCCTCCGCACCCCCCAGGGCAGAGGCTGCACCTCAGGTACCTGCTTTACCTGAGGGATTGGAGGCACCTGAGTAACACAGGGCAGTGTGAGGTGAGAAGGAGGAACCCAAATACCATTTGGAGACAGGAACTCAGTGAACTGAGTTTGCTTGGAAGGAGAAAATTCTGGTTAGATCAGCTTGTTTGCTTGTTCCTGGTGTGTAACTATCTGTTGTTCTTAGCCGTGGGTTGCACTGGGCACAGCTTGCTCCTGAGAGTGAGTTTTATGGAGAAAGGTGCTATGTGTGTAAAGAATAAGGAGGAAGAACAGTGCTTCCAGCCTGTGCTCCCACAGACCTGCCAGGGAGAAGTGAAGGATTTCGTTACCACCTTCTCCCTCCCACAAAGCTCCAAACTGCTGGCTCAGGTCATGGCTAAATCCTCCAGTGACTGGACTGGCAAGAGAGGATGAATTTTTAAGGCAGTCTGGTAACACCATATTAAAATTTGTGATATATTGTTGATAAGTGGGTACCAAAGAAAGTCTTCTCTTCCTCTGAAGGATTCTAAGAGCATGTCCCTAACAATAAATGTTAACATAATCCTGTGAGGAAGTGCATCCATACACAGGGTGATAATTAGCATGGATGAAACATGAAAAGATCAGGACACCCTCTAATAAGAAAGCCTCTCCCTTCCTTAATTCGTCTGTTAATGGGTGTCTTCCTTAGCTAGGTTTAACCTAGACATGTTGATACCTCTTCCCCTTGAATAATCAATGCAATTAATTATTGTATTATTGTTTATTTGGTATTTGTCTAGATACACCCATGAAGGCGAGGTTAATCTGTGTTAGGTGCTATTAAGATTTGTCATGGAAGTTGCTCCCACATTTAAAACTCATGCCATTTAATAGATTAAAAGACAAGTTCTTCAAATGGTTTGGGGAGCATTAAATTTGAGAGTTTACTCTTTAATGAGAATGTACCTCAATACTTGCAGACCCAACAGATACACACTGTCACACTCTGTTCCTTATCCCATTACTCCTTTAACAGAGGCAGAAAAAATGCTGATCTGCAGCCTTGTATCCATCACACTCTCAGTCCCAATCACTGCTGCATCTGGCAGTTTTGATTTCCTTTTTTGCCAGTGGCTTGCAGAGATATTTGAAGACAGGATGCAGAGAGAATCAGAAGGAAATTAATAGATATAGACAGCTAAGAGCTCTGCTGAGGGAGAGAAGAATTACTGGTGTAGGAATTTGAGGGACATGGTGGTGGTTTGTGTCTGCCCTGTAACTCATGTGTCCTGTGTCACCAACACAGCTCTGCATTCAGCCCCCTCAGGGCATCCATTTTTGTGTCCCCTTCTCCTGCCCATCCACAAGAACAATTGCATGCTCTTACACACAATGTGTTGAACTGGTGAGGGCTTTGTTTTACAGCAAAGAGCACAACCATTCCTAGTAGCCACCTCTGTACACCCATGTGTCCTGTGCTGCCAAACCACATTCCCATCAGTGCATTTGGGAGAGGAACCAGCTGCCACTGCCTTGCCTTGCCAAAGGACAGGGTATCTTGCTCCATTTGCCATCCAGACTGGGCCACAGAGTTCACCTTTGAAGCTGCAGCTGGCAATGTCTCCAGGCAGCTGATGGGGCTTTCTACCAGGAAAGGAATTATGCTGGAAGGTGTTAGTGACAGAGAATTGCCCTGTTGAGTTGGTAGCTCTGTTGCCTCCGTTCCTTTGGCACCAGTGCTGCAGAGGTCTGGTTACCTCAACACTCTGTCCTTCAGCCTGAGTGAGCTGGAGAGTGATTTGTGCCTCAGTGGAAAGATGGACCACTGTAAAGATAGCACTGAGATAAACACATGCTGCTTTAGAGAGGTGTCAAATATTCCAAAATAATAATAATATTGTTCAGCCAGTTTTTAAAACTGTCCATCTACTGGTTGCTAACTCCCTAATAGTTTTTTGTTCATTTTTTTTGAGCCACCATCTAACTTCTCTCAAGTGTCAAAAATAATTGGGGTGAAGCAGGCCTTCTGATGGTCTGTTTATTTTGCAGATGTGGGAAGAATATCCTGATGTTTATGGGGTTAGGAGGTCAAACCGAAGCAGACAAGAACCGTCACGATTTAATATAAAAGATGAGGTAAGGAAAAAAAAGAGGATGAGGGATTACTGAACATATAAAACCAACCAAATCCAAAGAGGAAAGGGAGGTCTCAACTGCTTTGCCTTGTAAACAAACACTGAGTCCCAGCTTGGTGCATGGATGTTGGAGCTCACAGTTGAGGTCCCAGTCCTGCAGCTGGATCCTTGGCCTGGGACCTCTGGAGTGAGCAGGACACTGCGTGGGCTGAGATCTGCATGCACTGATCTGATGGCATAATGCAAATCATGCTCTGCTGTAGGAACATCCTGGAGAGGAGTCTGTGTAATAAAAGAAACAGAACGGGACCAAAATGCAACACAAATCCAACCAGGAATAAAGGAACACCTCATAGATACAAAACAGTCATTGTTGCCCATCCTGGAATGGATCCCACTAATAAATGCATTTGTGTGTGTGCAGCTTTATGACCCATCACTTTTCTTTGGTTGAATATTGGGGAGTCTTTTATGCTTCAGTTGAAGGTGACAGTGGTCAGAGCTTGGCAGCCAAACCTTCTGATTGTTCCTGTTTCAGAACACTGTTGGGTTTTTTTCCTGAAGATGTAGAAATTAGGTGCCACCTTCATTTGCATCTGACAAGTTTTCTGTGTGGAGCATTTCATCTGCAGGTCTTCAGGAAAGTCAAGTAGCTATAGCAGAGGGGAAAGAGAACCAGAGAGAGGCATCTGTGCAGAGCTTGGGGCTTGGGGCTGGAATCTGAAGATAAGCAGCAGACTTTGAGCAGAGCAGGAGCCCAGTGACTCAGGCTGTTTGTGCTTCACCACCAAGATGTGCGTTTGGATGCTCTGGGTGTCACACGCAGCTCTCCAGATCCTTGCTCTGGTGCGTTATTGCTGAGCCTTGGTGGCACCCCAGTGCCACCAGCTGCCCCCCAGACTCCTGTGCTGGCTGTCCCACAGAGCAGAGGTCAGGAAGGGGCTCAGGGCACACCATTGACGTAGCTTTTGTTTTCCTTTTCAAGTTGGCAGAGGCTGGGCTGGCCGGCCGCCCCTCTGTGCGATGCCCCGGCATGCACTGTGCCGGCGACCTCACACCCACCCCTGAGCTCCGCTGCACACCCCCCTGCCCTCTTAGGGGCCCAGGTAAGTCCCTTCTTTTTTTGTTTTACAATATTACGTGGTTTCGCAAATGTTGTTTTCTTTTTCAATATCTTTATTTCCTACTACTTAAGGTTAAAAAAAAATAATTAAAATCTGAGATGCAAAAACTTTGCTATACCACAAAATATTGTAAAAAACAAAAAAAACCAACCACAACCCCAAAGGTCCTCCAAATGACCCCCACTGCAACTTCTGTGGAACAGCTGAAATTTAAAAAAATTGGAGCACCCCCTCACCCCTCTCTCCCCAAAGCAACACTGACTGGTCCCCACAGGGCAACTCCCATCTGCAGCAGAGTCCGATGGAGGCTGTGACCTGTCAGGAGCACAGTGTTGGGGCCTCGCAGAGAGCAGGAGGAGATGGAAGGGCTTGCTCTTAGAAGGCACCAAGAGAGAGGAAATAGCATAGCTCAAGCCTTTGTGGTGCTGAGCACTCCTTGCTGCTGCTGGAGGGGGCAGAAACCCAAGGCACATCTGAAGATGCTTTTTGCCTTCGCAGGGTTAATCCTGTCACCAGTGACCTGCACCTCTCCTTGCTGCTTGGGATTTCCAGCACGGTGTCTGGGGGCTTGTAATTGCCTTCTTCCCTAATGCTTCTGTGCAGATTAGCAGAGAGCATCGTGCAGGCAGCGTGGCAGGCTCAGAGACCAGAGCAAGGATGAGCCATGGCAGCTCCCTGCGCTGCCCCGTGACTCACCTGCGCGGGGGAGATGGCACAGAGGTGCAGGTGATTCAGGTTTTGGGGTCCTGCTCGATCACTGTGTCCTCTTAGAGCAGCACTCTGGGTAGGGTTATTTGTGTGTTAGAAATGGTTACCTTCTGGGGATTTCTGGGCTCGGTGTGTAGGTGTCCGAGGTGTGATCAGGGAGGGTGATAACTCGTGATCGATACCCAGGCGTGGGCTGAGCCATCGGGGAAGCGAAAGTGCAACTTTGCATAGGAGCACAGATCTGCTCAGAGGCCCAGAGCTGTCTCCAGGAACAAGAGAACGTGTGAGTTTTTTAGTAAAAACACAACTTCCCCAGGCATTTTCTTTGCGGTTAATTAATCAGCTTCAGGTTTAAGCCAGGGGATGTGAGGCATGCAGAACCAGGTGTCTTTCAGAGTATTTAAATTGGTTACATTTAAATTTAACCGATTTAAATACTCTGGAAAGGGGGAGATTTAGGTTAGATATATAAAGGAAATTCTTCCCTGTGAGGGTGATGAAACCCTGGCACAGGGTCCCCAGAGAAGCTGTGGCTGCCCCATCCCTGGAAGTGTCCAAGGCCAGGTTGGATGGGGCTCTAAGCAGCCTGGTCTAGTGGAATATGTCCCTGCCCATGGCAGGAGGTTGGAACTGGATGATCTTTAAGGTCCCTTCCAACCCAAACCCTCTTATCATTCCATCATTCCGTGATTCTGGGGCAGTTGAGAAATAAATTTGCCTCAACGAGACACAATCTTTTTACTATAAAAAGAATAGTTTCAGATTGAAAGTGGTGACAAATGTCAGTGTATTTTCTCTGTCAGAGAGAGGCCAGAAGTCACGCACCAGTGTGCTCTAAAAATACAGCTGGTTTTCTTATTGGAAAAAAAATTGCTCATTTACATTTTGGTCAGTGCTTTGCCTCATGTATTTGCTGAAAATTCAAACACTACTGGTCTCACTGGAAAATAATATTTCAGCAGACATAAAACTAACCTGGTGAGCTGAGATTCTCCTGCTTCTCTGGAACACTAGATTTTGACCTCTGTTAAGCCTGAAATGAGCAAGTCCTAACTTTGACTTTAGTCTGAAATACTTTTTGGCTTTGTTTAAGCAAGTCTATCTCTCCTAAGGCGAGCTCCAGAGGCTCATCTGGACCTCCTCTCCAATGGCCTGGAATCTCCATTTCTCCTGGCCTGGGCTAGTGGCAAGGACTTGTGGATAATCTATAGGAGCAGAACTTTGAATTGCTCTGTGTTGCTCTGCTTGGTGCTACATGTGCAGCATCATTATGTTTGTTCAGTGTTGCTCCACAGCAAAATACAGTGCAATTAATCTGGTAAAAGTGTGTGCATTTTATGTGCTAGGAGAGGGAAAGAATTGATGGGGGGAGTCATGAGGCATGGAGAGGGAAGGCTGATCCCTTTAGCTGGAGATGAGGAAAATGTAAGAGGCCAGATCCTAGTCCAGCTGGAAGCAGTGGTGCAGGAATAATTTGGGCACATTTTGATGAGGGGGAGCCAGGGTTGTCTTTCCCCTTGGCCACAGCAGCAGCACCCCAGCAGGGCAGCCTGAGCCCAGCACTGGCACTTGGGCTCTGGAGTGACCCCAGCATCTCGTGCTGGGCTGGCAAAAATCCCACTGGGACTGGAGATGGAGATTTGCCAGTCTAGCTTGTGTCATTTGGGGAGGAGACATTATTAAAATTCAATTTGCATGTGATTTCCCAAGCAGTCTGTCCTGATGGTGGTGGTGGGCAGACAGAGCCTCAGGTGCACGCTCTGGACCTGGCACACCCTGGATCTCTGGCTGTCCTCTGTGCTTCCTAAAACAGGGAATTTACCACCAGGAGACACAGGGAGCGGGGAGGAGAGGCTGAGGAACTGCAGCACAGTGCTTCCCAACACTCCATACTGGGATGGGGAGGATGTGGGAGCACAAGGCAGGCACATGACAGGCTGGGAAGTGCCTGTGTCAGGGGAGATAGGGCTGGGCTTGACACCAATCCAAAACAGACAATGCTGTCTTTGGACAATATAAGAGAAGGCGGCTGAGCTGCAGTCACAAGTTACATTTTTCAAGGTGGAAGAAGGGGGAAAGGTCGAGTCATTTAGAGATTATCATCAGCTTTGTAGAGACAGTGACAGAGCAGAGGGAGAGTACAGGCATTAGGAAAATGGACACCAGAAACTTGGAAAATGGGATTTTGGCACAGAAGCAGAGTTAACTTCAAAGAGTTAAAGGTTGTATTTGGTTTTCTCCCAGTGTGATCTCTGACGCAGAGTGGAGGAGAAATCCACCTCTTTACTTGTGGCTTGCCAAAAAGACAGCAAGAGTAAATGTGCACTGAGGGGCAGCTGTTCAAATCATGCCCAACTGGAATGGAAAAGCTTCAGAAATGGATAAGAGATTAAAAGAGAAAAGGAAAACTAAGGACTTTTAAATTTTGTGTGTCAAAACTGAAATCTGTGGAAGGCTTGGCTTGTGTTGCAAGGGTGGGTAGGGCTCTCCATGGTGTTTGCCAGGCACTTGCTTCATGGTTGGTAAATGAGACAGGGATTTCATGCAGGGCTGTGGAACAGGTGGATGGACACGTGTTTGTAGTGAGATATGCTGCAAAAGGTGTTATTGTGCCATATGCAAATCTAACACCAAATCCAGGAAAGCTCGTGGTCAGACATGGCATCCAGTATTTTAGTGGATTTTAGTGGATACACCAATGCAAGCGAGACAGAAGTTTCTGTGGGTGGAAGGAAAGCTGGAAAATGGGAATGAAGGAATGCAGGTTGCACCATTTCACAAGGTCCTTGTGTGCACAGCTGTGTGAGCTCTGTCCAGGAGGGCAGGGGGGTGTCAGGGGATGCAAACTGTGGCACCCATCATGATGGAACAGTGCCTGGAGCCAAAACTGCATACTGTGGCAAAAAGCAGCTAGAAGTGGAAGATTTCCAGTAATTGTGAGGAGCAAGCAATCTTGGGGGCTACTTCTGTAATTTTAATACTTCTTCAGAAATCTCACATGAGTTTCTTCAGTTTTGTCCCTGCCTATTTGTGTTTTCTGGGGGAGGCTAAGGAGAAGTCATATTATCTGTGTGGTGATCTGTTTTCATGGTTGACTAGTTTTTATGAAAATGGGGTTGTGTGCAACCAGCATAAAGAGATTATTTTAGCTGTCTTGGTCTGTGGGAATTCGTGATGCCCACTTTTAAAATAGTACAGCAAGTAGTTAGAATACCTCTAGGTATATTTAGCCAGAGAGACTTCACTGGTGGAGACTGTAGGACTAGGAGGAAGGAAAGCAACAGGACACAGCTCTGACCTAGTAAGGTCCTTGGTGACTTTTGCTGTGGGAAAAAAAAAAACCTCAACAGGAAGACAAGGACACTTTTGATGAGAATACTGCCTTTTTATGACAATATATTTATTTCATTCCTTGTAGGAAGTTTGTGAATGAAGGCAGATATGATAATGCATTTGTGGGGATAAATTCACCTGTGGGTTTGCAATCCCTGGGGTGTTGCACACACTGCAGGTCTGCCTGGCCACTGCTGCCGTGGTGTCTGTTGGGCACTGGGGGTTGGTGCTGAGGGGTGGATGGGTCCTCAGCTCAGGGACTTCAAGACAGGTGATGTTGCAGAGCTCTCCAGGCTTCCTGCAGAGTTTTCTTCTTCACACTGAGAGCAGAGCAGCAGGACTGAGGTGGCTGTGCTGGGAGGTGACTGCTCTGCACCAAAGTGTCCTTCAGGTGCTGCAGGGAAAGGACTCCAGCTCAGCCCACGAGCACGTGTTTCATTTGCATCCTCGAGGAGCCAGTCCACAGTGAAGCCTACAGCTTGATTTTCTTTCTTTTCAATTAAAGGCAAGTAGTGAATCTGAAAATGAGAGCCCAAAAAGAAGACGCCAGAAGCAGTTGAAAAGAAAGTAAGTTTCTAAGGAAAGGGTTTTAAGTGATGATGCTTTTGGTTTATATCTCAGAGCAGTAGTGCTTTGGATTGTTTGGTAGGAGTTGTCAACATGGTGAGCTTCTAAAATAAGTACTTTAATAATACTTTGTATTACTAAAATTGAAGTATGAATATGAATCTATAGATAGATGCAATTTTCCAACTTTTGTCTGTATTTTCCTGCTGTGCCTGTGATGGAAGCTGAATGAGTCAGGTTCACTTTCTGTTGTCAGTCTTTCACTTTTCCATCAGGTTACTGATTCCTTCAGAGATATTTAAAACAGTTTAATCCCTTCTCCTCCCACCTTTTTGATTAACTGAGAATAAAATGCCAAATTATTATCCTCTTTTATCTTTTATAATCCTCTGTTAAAACAAAAGAACCTCCATAAAGAATGATTTGGATGTCTAAGCACCATAACTTGAGTTCACTTACAGTAATATTTTACTGCCTTTTCCCATCTAAGAAGTACCTTCTAGATTTTCCAAACACCAGAATGAAGTAAGGAACTATTAGCTGCCTGATGGAAAAATCTAAACAGAGCCACATGATCCTGCTTGCTTTCTCCTGCATCTTGTCTTTTAACTCTTTATTTAGTTGTACCCATCAGTGCAGGAGGGAAGGTGATAAAGCACAGGGAGGGCTGTGGTAGTAAGGACAATGATCCTTGTGGAACCTCCATGTCCTCTTGGAGAGAGGAGGGGCTCCTCCAAAAGGCATTTTGGAGCTGCAGCTATGTTCCTAGCTGCCCCCAGAGAACATGCTTCCTTCCACTAATACTATAATATGACTTGGCTTCACACTTGGAAACTTGAATTGGCAGGAGAATTTTGATGGCAGGAGGTTTGTTCCATTTTCTGGGCTCCCAGGAGCTCATATAACTGTGCACATCGTGGCTCATGCTCTGTCACAGCACTTCTCTTCAGATCCTTCCAGCCCATCTCAAAAATGCAGAAGTAGAGAAAAAAAAATCATCAATGAAAGCCCTTGCCCACCCAGGTTTGAGCAGTACAGCTCTGCCACCAGCACATGTGGTGAGAGCTGCTCTCACTCGAGGCAATTCTGCCACTGTGTGAACAAAACCCAGGTGACTGAGACGCCCCTACTAAGAGCAGAGAATCACAACACAACATCCCCCCCTGCACTTAACAGCCGAGGATACAGTTTTCAGCTTTTTTTCCTGTAATTATGGCCCTGATTGTTTGTTCAGCCAAGTATTTGTGTAGAAATATCATTGCCCTTCATGACCTACATTTCTGACCTCAGAATTAAATGGAAAAGAGAGGTCTCTGCTGGAGAAGAGGATGAAGATGGAGGGGAGCAAGGCACCAGTGGAGAGAGTGAGCCTGAACCGAAGAAAATTAAAGCAAGAAGACCTGTCCAAAGGAGGTAAGGAATGGTTGGTTCAGTCTCTTTTTCTGCCTGTGCTGTGTGCAGAGGAAATCTCTGTTTGTCACTAATGAATGTGTATTTTTCCTGCAATATTACCTTTGTTTATGACCTAGTAAACCTAGAGCCTAGTTACTCCCTCATCTCCCCATCTCATGCTCCAGTGAGCACTAGAGTGGTTTCTATGATAGTTACAGCAGATTAAATCCCTTAGGAGTCTAATATTTGAGATTCGTGCTTCCTTAAAGACTTACTAAAGTGGATATTTACATAAACCATGCTGTATTATGGCTTTATTAACTCTTATTTTAGAACAGTGGCCAAAACTGGCGTTAAAAAGCCCCACAAAATCCAGCGTGGGAAGAGGAAGAAACCAGACTCATCTGAAGATGATGATGATGATGAAGACGATGAGACCCCCAAGAGACAAACTCGACGAAGAGCAGCCAAAAATGTCAGGTGTGAAGAGGTGTGGGGTTGCTTGGGGGTGAGAGCTGGCTGGGGAAGGGGGGCACTGGGGGCCCTGACTCCCTGTGTGGTCCTGCAGAGACGTGTGGCTGAGGTGTGGCTCCTCTGACAGGTTCCTGCTGAGCACACCCAGGGTTCAGCTCATTTTACCATCTGTGAAGGAGGAAATGTTTACCAGTCCCTCTTAGAGAAACGTGAGGAGGTTTGCTTAATATTTCTAAAGCACTCTCAGATGAGGTTAATAGTTGCAAATAATAGATGAAAATGAGCAAAAGGGAGCAGCTGTGATGGACTGGACCAATTGTCTTGTTCAGTGTGTTGAGCCAGGGTGGAGGTAAAGCTTTACCCATTCCCCAGTGTACCTTCTCACTTTCTCGGCAGTCCCAATAAGGGACTTGCAAACATTCATCAAAGATGAGGAGTGCAGTTCCTAGGGCAGTGTAGGCATCCATGCAGCTCTGCAACCTCCATAGAATAATCTTTCCCTCAGTAGTGGAGACTTTCTCTGTTATGGCCTTGCTTCTGCTGCAGGGATTGTTCCACCTTATGAATCATCTGATGCTGGCCATGGTCAGAACTATATGGGCAAGATAGAGGATTAGTCTAATAAAGGGTAGCTATCCAAGTGTCTTGGGGAAAATTCTGAATGGATGACTTAAGACATATGTGTGCTTGACATGAATGTGCACTGAACCATAGGATAAATACTGGAGAAGATGCTCCAGTCTGAGCCATTCTCTGTGTTGGTGGGCTGGGAAGAGTCAGGGGTTTTATATCAGTTTGGTTTTGATCTTACTCAGCTACAAAGAAGATGATGATTTTGAGACGGATTCTGACGACCTGATAGAGATGACTGGGGAAGGAGCTGATGAACAGCAAGACAACAGTGAAACTATTGAGAAAGTCTTGGACATCAGGCTTGGAAAAAAGGGAGGTGCGTGGCTCTGGAAGAAGCCTTTATTCCTGATGGCAATCGCGTGTGCTCACGGTTTCTCTTGAGCTGGTGCAATGCTTTTGCAACTTTAAAGTGGAGCCAAGGGTTGTTCCATTGCTTTTCATCTTTTCCTCTATGC